TGTGCTGCATCCGCGGCGTTCTTCAGGTCCGTACGTTCGGCACTGACCTGCTCAAGTTTTGCCTTCGCAATGTCTCGCTCTCGCTGTGCTGAATCCGCGGCGTTCTTCAGGTCCGTACGTTCGGCACTGACCTGCTCAAGTTTTGCCTTCGCAATGTCTCGCTCTCGCTGTGCTGCATCCGCAGCGTTCTTGAGCTCTTCGCTATTGGCAATAAGCTGATTCTCAATTGATTTTTTTTCTTCTTGTAGTGCTTTTATTTGTATATTGTAATTTCTTTCTTGCTCTTCGTTCTTCTGACCTTCATCTATGAGGAATCTCTGTAAAACATCAATAAGCTCCCGCAGCGCATAGATGTCGCTTTGCTTATCGTTTGTACTCGAGTAGGTTACTTTGTTAGATTTCTCAAAATGTCCTGTAGGAGAATTATTTAATCCAATTTGGTTTAACGATGATTTTTGGGGTGTATTTTTTTTGATTGACTCCAGTTTTTGATCTTGATTATTTTGAATAATCTCATCGCAGTGTGGGCAAACAGGAACTTTGGAGTTTTTGTAATAGCCTTGGATAACTGCATTGTGAACACACTTACCACAAAGCACAATACCACAGTAATGACAGTTGTAACATGAAGAGAAAAAGCTAAAGCTTTTCCCACATTCTTGGTACTGGCAACATTTAGCATCCCTCTGGGACTGCCACCTTTCTCTTGGCACTACCTCTGCAATCGACATGAAAAACTAAGTAATCGATAAATGTACTATGTGTTCTTTTTTATCTCTAATATTGAATAAATATATCAAAAAAGATAGTAAAGAATTCAATGAGTGTATTAAGATTTCATTATAACTTTTTCTCTCGTTTTATGATTCACAGGCCATCACATAGTAAATTTCCAGATCTTTAAATACAATCCCAGTATATTACTCACTTTGTTCTAGGGTACAAAATGAAGTATATATATTTATGCAATATATACGATATTTTAGTTCTTGATACATTTAAGCAAGCAGGGTTATATAAAAAGTAATGTATGTGGATATACGTGTATTGAATGTAAAGGCATATTGGTATTAAAGAAATAAAATTTAAGAGAAAAAGTGCAATAATGCCAGACAACTGTTCTAAAAAGCGCTTGAGATGTGATAACACTGCGGTCTTTTTTTTTTCTAATCAAAACATATCCTTCATTGGAAATTTTGACTGAAGTGGAATTTTACTTGCCCTTCATTATTTATTTGCTGGCATTATCTCGTTGTCCCCTCAATTTTCATAATTTTCCTTGACGTTTTGTTCTCTTCGAAAGACGATCAATCTTGGTCATCGTCACTATTGTTGCCATTATTGCTTCGTTCCCGATCCCTGTTATAAGAAGTATGGATGTCGATATAGTTTCTCCCCGACTCATTTAATTTTTTTAGCTCGATATAACTCATATAAGAAAGATGCTGTGTGAGCTCAATGTATTCATTGATATCAACAAGTAACCATGCCAACATGCAGAAAAGTAAAGAAATTAGTAGCCATATGTTGGAAACCATGTCCTGACGCGTGCGGTTGCTGTCCAGTGAAATGTTCCACGGTTTATCCTCGTTAATGCGTTGGTAGATATCTGTCAATATTGTCTGATCACGATTGAGTTTGGACTTAACCTCAGCCCATACTCGATGGGCTTCTCTATAACGTTTGTGATCTTTACATTCACCCGTATTGACACTAGATGGATCGTTGCTTATGTCCTTTCCAGGTTCGATATGTGTTGGGGTTTGGCATTCGCTATCACGTCTCGTCGTATTGGTTGTTCTCAAGCAGAACAAAGCATCAAACATTGCGTTCAAACCAACCCATGCCGATTTCCGTGTGGTGTTTGATGCTGAATTTCTACGGAAACTACAATACGCACTGTCCCCCAGTGGCATTTGATTTCGCACCATATCCTGACGTATCTGTGAAAAGAACTTTTCGGACGATGCGGCTTTCCTAGAGAATATTTTGTCTTTTTGAAAGACATCACTAGTTTCGACGCCGTGGTTGACGCTTGTGAAGCGTGTCGTTGGAAACATTGATACAAAAATTCCATGTACTGATCGTTGGGATGCACCTTTTCTTATGGGTGCGCCTGAGTGTGAAGACGGAACCGATGCACTTGGCTTGACATGAGAATCACCTTGCACCGTCACATTCCCAGCGCGGTTTAACGCAGATTGTGAGTAATGGAAACAGGAACAATGTGCCCTTCGGTAGCAGTTAAGGTGCCCCTGCTCCTCACATCGCTGGAGACGACGGCAAAGAGGCACTCGTTCAGAAGAATACAGTCTAGTTGAGGGTGTTGAGGAATCCGAAAAAAGAAGGGTTGCGTTTAAGAGGTACCGTCTCAGTTTCCATCTCGCCCATTTATGATGCAAATCGGTTTTCACAACCGTTAGTTTGTTTTTGGTAACAGAAGATAAAAGGCTCATGTCGCTTGACTAAAAAAAAACACTACTCGCAAAAAAAAAGTGCGCTCAATAATGAGTTGCTGATAGGTATATGACTATATAATATTTTTATCTAATATATATATATATGTGAAATGTGCAGTATCAGAAGGCGCACACTCCTGTACTCTGTTTTCCTTCTTAGTGTAATGATATTATATTCGAAAAAATATAATGGAGCAAGTGAAAGAAATGCAAAAACGGCCATAACGAACACCCGAAATAGGGTCTCAAAGGGTATGAAGAAGTAACTTAACTAAACCTTAGTAAGTGATTTAATTATTTAGGAAAATACGTTGAAAAACAAACTTATGTAATGCATAAAAGCGATCCGCCGTTCCATTGTCTATCATGCGCATATGACAGCATACGTCAAAACAATGAAGGAACAGAAAGTCGAACCATGCGCAACCTACTTGGAGCTAGAGTTAGTTCGGGCATGGCTGCGCGCCGTCACGGTGATCTTCTTCACAGAAGGATGGATCGAGCGCTCGATCTTGTCAGCTTTCTTCTTATCTGCCACGACGAGAGTGTAGAGGTAGCGACTGCAGCGAACCTTAAACTTGGAAACCTTCGGATTGTGCTTTACCTTCACGCACCGGGCATCCTTGCGGGAGCAAATGGCAAGGAACTCCTTCAGATTCTTGATTTCACGCGGCATGTTTACCTTTTTGTGTATGGATTCGCTTTATGGCTTTAATGAAAAAACAATAAAATGTATCAAAAGGTGAGTACATAAAAGGGAAAAGGTTTTAGATTGATATAGAAAAGGTATTTATTTATTGTAGTTTTATTTAACCTCCAGTATGACAATCCCACACCATAGGATAGTCTTTTACTTGATGTCAATGATTTCCATGAGCTTTACATCCTCTCGTTATAGAGCAAAATGAGAGGCTCAGACAAGATGCTATTCTATTTCCAAGATTAGCAGTCATACCCATGAGAAAAAAAGGCGGATGCCGCACTCTTAGGCTAGCGGTCTCCCTCTCCCTTAGACGACTAAACTCAAGAAAAAGGCGGTGAACTAACCTAAGGAATCTTTAGGAAGTTAAGATTCACAAAGGCTTTGGTTTTGCAATGGCACTCATATAAGAAATGATTTGGAGAAAAGAAAAAAGCGGTTTGCAGCCCACTGTAATGAGAAACCTTTCTATTATCAGGTCACTTCTTTTCAAAGCTCACGCATTCGATAATTCTATTTCCATCTCATAATCAAATCCCTAAGGTAATCCCAAAAATCACAACAACAGAAAGGGAAATCAACAATACACACTAAGCTAATTTTTGATCCCGAAGATAAATTATCCCCAACAGCTTAGCATCATGAATAAGACTTTGGTAAAGTATCGTTATATCTATGAATCGATAGATATGGATATTTCTTAGTCAGGCGTCAGGCCAGGGTAAAGATTCACGTGCGGCCCGAGGTACCTCCCGCTTCGATGCCACGTTGGTGGAATCCAAAAGATTCGCCTCTTTTGTAAGATTGTGTGCGGGGAAAAGATGGTTCCCCGGCGGCGCTGCTCCAGCTGCTGCTGTGCGGTTCTAGAGAAAAACTTCAGCCGTGGCTCCAAGGAAAGGCGTTCTTCGAACTGAAAGAGTGGCGGGAAGCCCCATGGCGTCATCACCTCGCTCCGCTCGACGATGCGCTGATAGAGCTCAAAGTACGACGACATGGGCCTCCGCGTGAGCCCCATCTCCCGCATCACATCCGCGGCGGCGCTAATACCGGCGAGGCGGGTGGCCGCGCCGTTTTCCAACTGCCGCGCGGCGATCGCGCGATAGGCAGGGCTGCGCACGGCGGACTCATAAAAACGAAACGCGGTGCGTTGGGTCATCTCCCCACTCGCCACCGCCTCCGCGAGGGCCTTGAGGTGTTGGTAAACCAGGCGAGAACGGGCCTCCCCGGGGTTGAGCACGGCCATCGCGGTATGGCAAAGCCACACGAAGACGTCATCATTTCCGGACAGGGCCGTGTAAAGCTTCTGAAAGCGCCTGCCGGAGATCATCTGGTCGTACGAGGCCCCTCGGAGGAATTCCACGAGGGCCTCGAACTCGACATCCCCGCGGCCCGCCAGCTCCTCGCGGGAGCGCGCGCCCTCGAGGTTCTTCGGGATGTCCTGGACCTCCCGCATCGCGTCCCCGCCGGAGGAAAACCGGGCCTTCTGCTTCTCCTTGAGGGGGTCGGTGGTGAAGGCAGCTTTGATGTAGTGCGCGGGGAAGTTGGGGGTCGGGTGGATCGGAAGGATGACACGGCGCTTGGTCGCGAAGGAGGACTTGTCCAGTAAAGGGGAAATTGAACGGTACATCGCGGGCTAGATGCGCAATTGGTTTGGTATTCTAATTTTGAGCCCTCTGCAAACTATCGAGAGAGATATGGATGTAGTGATAGATGGCTATTAGGCTCCATCCCTACGAACATAACGATGAAGCAAGGAAATACACGGAGGTTTGAATTTCATAAAGGGACATCAATACGGCTGCTTTTTGTAAACGTCATTATTACATGGATAGGTAGATTTAGCTATGGAAATTAGTGGAAAATGTCACAGGTAGTGGCTAGCTTTGAAATACTACTGCATTGTATTGTAGTAAATAATAAAAATACGGTTTTTTATAAAAAGCTAAATAAATATATCACTGTAGTTATGTATATAGATATATGCATGTTTAATATTATACTCAAAGCCAGCCCCTGTATGTGTACATACTTTAGCTAATAACATGTCCATATTGTATGGAACTACAACGAAATATTGCGTGTATCAACCCTTATTGCTTTTTCTTGATAACAAATTTTGACTTGCACGCATTTACTATACCTATGCTCTAGCATTGCATCACCGCTATTTTAAAAATGGAATATATTAAAAACCCCAAGAATAGTGCACAAAGAAAAGTAGTGGCAAAAAAACAATATGCAAATGGCACTCCTTAAGTATCCAAAGTAATTGGATGCATTCAAGTTAAGTGTATACATGAAGGAGAACTTGTTTGAAAGAATTTGTAAAATACGAGATCAAAATAAAGAATAAAAGGAGAGTCATTATCAAAAAAAAATGTAAGCATCAATAGGGTAAAGATCACTCTAATGGATTAGACTGTAAAATGAATAGCCGCGAGCATCTATATTTAAATAAAGGGAAAGGGGTTATTTCACACTAAACAACCAAAAATAAATATAGAGGCAAATATAATATTCTTATTTTTTTTTAATTGAAAATATCATCAAAAGAAGTAGAAGAAAAATGAAATGCAGCATTGTCAAGTGGTAACATGAAATACTAATAACTAGCTTCTGAAAACCGGTCAGCTGTCACATATAACCATTAGTCTGCATATATTAAAAAAGGTAAATATACATTAATTATTTATATCATTGAAGCTCCTCGTGTGCAAAAAAATATGAAATTAGAACGATTTTGCCTCTAATTAAATAAAGCACAAGCTACAAGGACGTATTTCTATTACGAAAGTATCCCTGTATGCTTATTCACTTTTTTTACCTTTTTCCCCTTTCTAAAAGCCTCAAAGACCGAGCATGATCGTATTACAGGTGAAAGTCGAACTTGACCTCTGATAATATGCCCTGGTAGGGGGGTTCCCATCATATGCACTGACATCTCTTCGCGCTCTCTAACCTTTTCCCTCTCCGAGAGGTTCACCGAATCCTGACCATTCCAGTATGGATCTTTAACGGAAGGATCAAATACCACACACTGCTCCTGCGCGGGTCGTGGAAGGTAGGGTTGAGGTTCCACTACGAACATATCATCCTCGAGGTCGGCAAAATTCACGGGGTAGGTGAGATATTGTGCCTCGATAGTGGATCCAGCAGGGGTGTGGTGATAGGGGACCATGACAGCATGTCGAAACATCGACACTTCCTCCAAGACGTTAAGTAAGCCATGAAAGGAAATGTTTCGCTGAAATTTGTTTTTCGGGAAGTTCACCACAACAATGTAGTTCGACATAATAAATCGCGTACTAAAGGACGGAAGGGGTATGGCTAATCGCTGTTTCACCTTGGTGAAGTCAACGGTACTCATCTTCATCTCGATCGCCAGATCGCGCTCTTCGCCAGACTTAATGCAGACTTTCCGTAGGTAGTTGTGCGCGAGCAGGGTCCATTCGGAGGATTCGAGCATGGTATAGTTGATGTTTGTGGCCTGCTGAATCTGAACTTCAATATCTTTGATGACCTTTAGGGTGCTATTACGAACAGAAAGCCTTAGAGTGAAGGGAACCTTGTCGACATTGCCTTCTCCATCCCGTTTACCAATAGAAATGAAGCAGGGGTCAACTCTAGCCGACAGATGGACCGACTCATCGAGCTGCTTTCCATGAACCCATCCCATGAAGGAGTGTCGGTAAACGGGGACTTCGAAATCGATGCGCTGCGCACAATTCGTATGGACAACTGTCTGACGATGCGGGACAACGGACTTGATGCGAAAATAGGCGTCCGAAGTGACATTGTGATTCTTATCGATTTCGAAGATCGCACTTGCCGTGTACACGAGCCGAATGTAGGAGTGGGTATTCGCAGAATTAAAGCTCGGAGGGAGCGCTGAATTAAGTGGTACAGAAAATGGAAACTTATAGCAACCTGCGTCATAGGTTAAAGTCTCGTCTCCATTGATATTCATCGTTGGGGATGTAAAGGTAATCCAGTGATTCAGGTAGGTTAGGGAGTCCCTATTTACCTGAGGATTGAAGCCAATGGATATAACGCCGTAAATTTCTTCAATACCCAATAAATGAAGTTTTAGTGCTGAAAAAGTCACAGACTTCTTGACGTCAAGATGAACCTCACCCGTCAGGGTCTCACCGGGGCAGTACGCCTCTTTCAGTATCTGACAGTTCAGGTGGACCTTGGATTTTTCTATTTCAGCCATTGGTAAGCTTTTCTCTAGTCTTTACAGAATTTTCGTGCACTTTTTTTTTTAAATCACAAACACGTGAATCGAATTCTTTATTCTTTAAATGATCTGATAAAATATGGCTATCACCATCGTATATTTCTGTATGTATCTAAACCTAACGGTTTCTGATAAGTTATGTTCCCTGAAGGAATAATTAAGTTAAATTAATTTATTTGCGTAAATAAGAGCTATGTTATCTAAGTTAAGAAGAAAAAAGTATTAATTGTGGAATAGAATTTTTTTTACATATGAACTATGTATAACATAATTGAAGGGTATAAAGTGAAGCATTAAAAAAAGACTAAGCAAGCCCCTGCCATAAGTATGGATACTGGAGTACTATGGTACAGAATAGTTCTTTCCTCTCCCCGTAGTATATAGGGAAATACGGATATCTATATAAGTACCTTCAGTTTCAAGGATAGACACAAATTTTTTTTTTATAGAAAATGAAAGAAAGTCATTTCTTCTCTTCTTTATAATCTTGTAAGGACAAAATAAAGAACACCACACTATTGAGTCCCCTCACTCCCCCGATTGTGCTGCATCGGCTGCCTCATCTTCGACTAGCAGATCTTCACAAAAGATGGGGACTTGTTCTTCAATACACGCCAAAAGATTCTCCAATGTACGGTTCTGTGGAGAAGTAAACTTTGGAATGGGTTCGATGTCCTGAAGGGCGATCATTTCATTAATGAAATCACGACATGGGTTGAACCACGGGTGTCGTAGGGCATCATCCGCGCTGGGGCGTTTGTTCGGGTCGAACTGGAGGAGCTGTTCAATCAACTGGACTACCAAAGGAGATTCCCCCAGGGTTGTAGAATTTTTGGCCAAAGTATGGGAAGAAGAGAGCAGCTTAACCAGCGTGGAGGTGCAAGGGCAGCGCTCGATATAGGCTAAGGCGTAGTTCTTCGCGTTGGTGCTGGATTTCTCAAAAGGCTGCCCGCGATCAAAAACGGTGGCCGGCGGAGTCCCGATGAGATAAAAAATAAGATTCAGCTGGTTTGCCGAGTCGTTTGGCTTTCCAGGAAAAAGATGACGACGGAGCAGGAGCTCACCCAAGATCACTCCAACACTCCAAACATCGCTGGGGTAGCTGTACTCCGCGTCCAGGATAATTTCCGGGGCGCGATACCACTGCGTGACGACGCCAAAAGACAGCTGTTCGTCCGGGTCAAAAAACCTACTGAGGCCAAAATCACACAAAAACACCTGCGAGTTGTAGTGAATGAGAATATTTCGCGTGCTCACATCACGATGAAGAATCTTACAACGATGCAGCGCACGAATCGCGAGAAAGAGCTGACAGCTGATGTACCGTACGATATTTTCATCGAGTGGGATATTGCTATTCTTAATCACCGAGGACAGATCGGACGGGATGTAGTCCATCACCACGTAAACATCCTTCTCTCCACTCGTAGGGCGAAAGAACAGTCTACAGCCCACGATTTGCTCGCAAAATTGCAGCTTCTGCAGCACCTCGACCTCTCGCAGTACACGCCGGGCCGCATCTTCGCTTTTGGAATAATGCGGAATTTTCTTTAAGGCTATTAAATCATCGCGAAAGGTGGCCTTGCAGACGGCGCCATAGGCACCCTGGCCGACAATAGACTCTACTTTGAAAGCAGGGGGCACATCAAAAATAATGGGCGTACCTCTATTGTGCATTGACTTATATATATATATATATATATAAATATATATATATAATTTTCCTTCAGAACGCTTTGGTTTTTATGTGATGTTTCAATTAACTGGAAAATACACACAAAATGGGGATAAAAAGAATTAAGAGTTGGGCCAGATTCAAAAGTACTCTAAAGAATCAATTAGAGTGATCCATATATATATATATATATATATATATATAT